GACCCCCGGCTGAATCGCAGCTCACAAGGCACAATCAGGGACCGCTTTCCCTCCCTCAATCACAGCTCACAAGGCACAATCAGGGACCGCTTTCCCTCCCTCACCAGCTCAGCAGCCCACAAAACCCACGCGAACGCTATTTGTAAGGATGGCGTCACTCGGAGTGGGCCACGGGCTTCCCAGGAGTGACAGAAACGGCTCCCCACACACCTTCCCCGAGCAGACGAGCTGTGAGCAGTCACCGTGACATTCACACGCCCCAAGGACACGGAAACTTGATGAAAAACATAAAGGGTACCATGGGGGATTCAGGGCCGGGCTGGAACCCCTGCTCAGGGCCCTGGGCACAAGGAACTGAGGCTGGAAGTGAGGGAGTAGCCAAAATGTGTTAGCACAAGGTTCATCTTCTCAAAGGAAATCCAGCATTTAACTGAAAATCACTAAGAGATGGATTAAAAATGGAAAAGAGGAAATACGAGAAAAAGGCATTTCCTAAAGCACTATTAGAATCCACGTTTCCACCTTTTGCAGTCTGAAGAAAAAAAAAACAATACATCYGGTTTTGTTTTGTAAGAAAAGATGACAGCAACTGAAACTAAAAAGCATTTGTTAAAAATTGGTTTTGACTATCACATTTGTTATGATAGAGCCCATCAGAGCTTGTTTTGAAGAAAGGCTCCTGATGGCATAAAGCACAAACACAAAACGGCAATACTTTGTTAGACATGGTAGATGCCAAGACAGACTGTATAATGGAATTTAGCACTACCCATTATTCATAAACAATCCTTCTGATTAAATATTCAYGCATCATCATCATCATTTGTCTTGTAAGTCCGTACTCACAGGCACCTTGGGCTCTGCTCTTACTGGATCTCAGCACAGACAGGATTGGTGATTTGGATGTATGACACCAAACAGGATCTCTTCTGAATAACAATGTGCYGCTCACAAAACACCATCCATCTCTCCAGCTTGCTCTGGGGGAACGGATGGCAGGTCCTGCCTCCCCACGGACTGGGCTCAGCTCAGCCCCAYACGCAGGAGGCAGGTGAGGGCTCCCCCTTTACAAATCCCCAAACTCCTCTGGCAMGCCACTGTCCAATTAGAGCTGTTCAAGTGAAAAGAGCAATGTGTTTACTTCCTCATTATTTGGCATTATTTCTTCATGACCACYGTTCAGTTGGACATTTTCTCTCCAAGTCTTGTAAACAAAATGCAACATAGAAAGCAATTTTCATCTTAAGCAAGCAAAGAAAATAGATCTTCACCAAAACGTCTTGAGTAACAATTTCTATTAGAAATGTGGTTGGATAGCCAGACTGCTAAAAGAAAGAAAGACCACCACTCCTCCACAGCTCAGCAGCCCCATGAAGGTCTCTGCATGCAGTGGGTTATGCAGAGATGTGCAGGATGATACCAGCCCTACAGTATTCCTCAGCTGCAGCTTTTCCCCCCTCACCATGTGCTCCAGTTGACAGACAAGAAAACAGGACACCAGAGCAATTAAATTAAAAAAAAAAAAAAAACAAAAGCACAAGGCCACCTTCTGAACAGGGTCTGTAAGCATGTGTTTTTAGCACATATTTTAGAGATTTTTTTAACTCAACTGCCTCCTATGTACTACCAGGTACTCACAGCAGGCTGCATCTCTCCTTCCTAGAGAAATGGCACATCTGGCAGAGAGATAACTCAGTATTAGCTTCCAAAGCCTTTGCTTGCAACTGTACCACTACTGAGGCACACAGGTTGAGCAACTCATAAAACTGGCAGTGTTTAGGATTTATGGTTGTAGTGTACTCCCCAAATGGCTCTTCTCAGCTGCTGCACAATGACTACTTCACTTACAAAAATCTTCACAGGAAACCGTCAACAATCCTACAGATAGACGTCTATAGAGCACACAAATCAGTTAATTACTGCAGGTCATTTAAAGATAGGTGGATAGAACAACTACAGATATTATGTAATAGAAATTATTTAATGGCAAATAAATTCAAATTAAATTAAAGATGGTATATAAATACTATATAATTCAATGGGGTTCATCACCCTTCTTTCTCTGCACAGATTTACTTTACTATTTTTGGAGAAAATAAAACACTGTGCTCCGTTATCTTCAAAATTCAGTAAATAAAAGAATTATATAAGATTTTCAGATGAAGTATCCCACTTCAAGAATTAAGGACATCAAATACTATAATAGAACAGGCCATATTCTCTACACCCTCTGTGGACCCCATGGGCTGCAGGGG